GTGGTTCTTTAAAAGTGAGAAAGTACTGCTGCTCAGAACCTAATCATGATCCCCACCGTGCTTCTAGGCAGTTGGGATTGGCAGAAGCTAGAAATAAATTCAAATTATATAAGACTTTGGTTTCTTTGTGAATTAAATAGAAGTGATACTCTTACTTAGGGTTTTGATTTAAGTTATGAATAGAGATCTATCTAACAGCAATAAAATATAAAAACTGAGTATTAATGTATAGCTCAATGTAATAAAAAGTATAAAGTGAGACTAAATCATTTAATTTCTGTAATTATTTTGGTGTTAGGTGGAATTTAAGCATAAATGATAGCTATTAGCTGTAAATAACTAATTAGTGTTATTTTCAGACATCTGAGCCATTTTTTCTCCTTTGCATGAGCAAATGCACACTCAGACTCAAAGCTGAAATACTTAAAACATGTCCTTTCTCCTTTCCTACCCATATAGTCCCTTCCTTTGTCCCTGCCCCGTGATTTTGAGGAACAAAAGACCTAACAGTGGCTTGACCTTGTAAGCAGGTGCTAAAGAGCTGAGTTAATGGTAGGGACCTATTCATTCATTTGCCAAACATTACTGAGTTCCTGTACTATGTACTATACTGAGTTCCTGTACTATAACTATGTTGTAGGCTCTGTTTTAAGCTCTAAGTAAACTTAGTGAACAAAGCAAAGTTTCTACATCTGGAGCTTATATTCAAATAGGTAAGATACAAATAAGTGAATGAATAAATAATATATAAAGTGATGGTGAATGTTATTAAGAAAAATACAGTAGTATAAGGAGAAAGAGAATGACTAGCCTTGCTATATTGTGCATTAATTTTCTGTATGCCCTAAACCTAGCACTCAGTAAATTTTTATTGAATGAACAAACTTATTAATACATCTCTGGTAGCATCTGTCTCATTACAGTGATAATATTGTAGTTAATTAGATTTATCTAAACACAGTGGCTCTGAATTCTGAAGAGTGAGAGTAGTAGCATTAAAGACCAGAACAGTGAAAAGAAAAGATAATGAGATCTCAGGCATCTGACCAAGTTTGAGTTAGGGAAGAATGATAAAGTCAAATAATATAAGAACCAAAAGGAAGAGGCTAACAAGTCTGTACCCTTGTTCTAGGTTCTTGAGATTAGACAATTTCTATTTGAAAGAAATTAATAGTCTTTGGGGGGTTCTGTTTACACAAATTCCTAGTTAGGATTTCAGCAGCCATACCCAGGGAAGATCCTGAAGCGAATCATCTGCTTAGGAAAACAGAAGATGTCTGTGGGGTTGGAAAAATAGTGAGAAAAAGGATCAGAAAATGAGTCATTCCTATTTACCCATTCTAGAAGATAAACGAGTTTATCTTCAGGATAGGTTTTATAAGAAACAGTGGTATTAAACTTGAAATTGCCTTAACAGAAAATATCTTACACTCTGTTAGTATGAAGAATGCATTACAAAAATAATACCCTTTGTTGATATCCAAAATGCTTACTATTGGAGCTAGCAGTTACTAACACCGAGGAAGTAAAGAGGTTCCAGTGATTGATGGGACCACCGTACATCATTTACACACTCTTCTGTTTACACTCACACCTACAAACACACGTGCACACACACACACACACATCAGATTTATAATTGGCAAACGTATAGGAAAAATTTATCATCACATTCACCATTCTACAATATGCTGGAATTACTCTGAATATGCTTTAAAATCACACATTTTGGGGCTTCCCTGGTGGCGCAGTGGTTGAGAGTCCACCTGCCGATGCAGGGGACACGGGTCCGTGCCCCAGTCCGGGAAGATCCCACTAGTTCTTTTGTCTCTGTAAATCTCAGGTTTGGGAATTCCCTGGTGGTCCAGTGGTTAGGACTTGGAACTTTCACTGCCGGGCCTGGGTTCCAGCCCTGGTCGAGGAACTAAGAGCCTGCAAGCCTCGCAGTACCAAAAAAAAAAAAAAAAAAAAAAAAAAAAATCACACATTTTTATAACTTAAAAGGATAACTGCCTTTTGTAGTATGTAAAAATCAGATCAGATATGCTTCAGGAACTAGATGACCTGACTAACTCAAAGCAGGGAGGGTTCATATATGTGACGGTTGGGTAGGACCCAACAAGCAAAGAGGCAAGAGAATGTCTGAGTAGATTATTTCTTTTAGAAGAGAGTGGAAAGTTCCTTTTTTAAGATTAGGGAGAAAAGGATCTTGGAATTTTACACTTGAAGCATAGAGATGTTTTGTCTTTTATTGGAAGGGAGAACAAAGACGAAAACAGAAACTATGGGTTACTGTTCATATTCAAAACCCAACCTTACCCCTTCCTCAGTAATTTTTCCCTATGAAACAATATACTGGAAGTGTTAGAGTAATAGCAGATCACTAGTGGAGTAACAGTAAATCACTAGCAGAGTAATAAATCTCATGCCAAATGATTCTTGATAGGGAACTCACAGGCAAGAGGTAGATACAAAGACGTTTGATACCAAACTAGGTTTTAGTTCAAATTCACAAACCCTGGAGGAATGTAAGACTAAGATACAGATTCTGGTTGGGTTTATATAGAATGTTCCAATGAGATCTGAAGATCAAAAGATAAATGAAAAAGCAGCAAATAGTGGTAAAGAATTAGTATGAAAATAGCAAACCAACTTTTTAAATTTCTTAAAAGATGATTAGAATCAGATTGCCTGGATTTTAACTGTGAGTTTTGCTACACACTGTGTCACTCCAGGTAAATTATTTAACCTATTTGTCCTCAGTTTCATCACTTCTAAAATGGGAACAATAAGCAGTAAGGATTCACTATATAGCACAGGGAACTGTATCTTATAATAACCTATAATGGAGAATAATCTGAAAAAAATATATGTATAACTGAATCACTTTGCTGTACACTTGTCACTTTGCTGTAACACAATATTGTAAATCAACTATACTTCAATAAAAAAAATGGAAAAAAATAAAAATGGGAACAGTAATAGTTTCTTGTGGGGTTACTATAAAGTTTAAATGTATATAATTATTAAAGCATTTAGCATAGTGTCTGGAACATAGTGGACATTCAATATAAATTACCTAGTAATATTTATTATTATTACTTATTATATTGCTAAACCCAGCTAGTGGGAGTTTTTTTTTTTTTTTTTTTGCGGTATGCGGGCCTCTCACTGTTGTGGCCTCTCCCATTGCGGAGCACAGGCTCCGGACACGCAGGCTCAGCGGCCATGGCTCACAGGCCCAGCCGCTCCACGGCATGTGGGATCTTCCTGGACCGGGGCACGAACCGGCGTCCCCTGCATCGGCAGGCGGACTCTCAACCACTGCGCCACCAGGGAAGCCCTAGTGGGAGTATTTTTTAACGTAAAAAAAAAAGAAGACCTACTTGTCCCTCCACTGATCTATCATATCTACAATATTAACCAGGTTTTTCAAACTTAGGCCTCTCAACCTACCACTTAGAACTAACTGTAAGCTCAAGCTTTTGGGGAGGAGGAAGCTGTTTTAAAATAAGCTCTTTAAACCTAATTGATGCCAGAAAATATCGCAAACTAATCACCAGCGTAAAAATAATCTTTCCGTACCTAAGGTTTATGAAATAATCAAAATCAAATGTGTGTGAGCTGTTTTCAATCCTTATAGCTAGCATTTTCCCCTTCTAATAAGTTCATATCTCCAAATTTAACCAACAGTTTCCAATTATTTATAATCAAGTCTAGGTAAAGATTTTTTTAAGTTGATTTTGTTTTGGAGAATTGTTTGCCCTATTATAACATCTTTTGTTAGAAACAATTTATGGTGGTGAAGTTTAATATACCAGCAGACAAAAAGACTGCATAGTTTTTGTAGAAACATTGCTTCTGGAACAATTTCAAAATGGAACCCCAAAGACAGTACATTTAATGTTGAGATATTCTTAGAGATATATTTCTACATTAAAAAAGTAAAACATAATATGCTTTATAAGTTAATCTCAAGTCTGAGCCAGACACAGAAGGGTGGTAAGCCTCAATTCTGTACCCACATAATCAAGTCTGTGGAAACTCTGGGAACCATGCCACTGGGCTCCAACCTAGCATAGTTGGGAAATGACACATTCTTTAAGAAGCTCTTGCACAGGAAATGAGTGGGTCACAAAGCACACTAGTAAAGGTCCATAAACTTGTTTTATGAATGAAGAGTATGAGGTGTACTGGCTCCAAGCTGCAGTACCTTTATGAGGATGTCATAATTTCTCATTCTTCAGCTTTTATCATGGTGATGGATTGATACAACAGAATCCTAACAGGAAAACATAATCATGTCAGCCATAAGAATATTGTCCCATGTCACTTCAGAATTATTTAAAATAAATTTTCCACATTTATCCCTATTCCTAGATCAGATCTTCCCACCTGCCCCTCCCCATCAAAAAAAGAAATGATATACAAAAAGCCACAAACTTAAACTAATCAATTTTATTCACACTTCCCATGAAAAGCAGTTACATTTGTACATAAAATCATTAAGACAGAGAATAAGAGAAATCTTAAGATGAACATATCTGATTAGACACAATACAGAAAGTAAATGTGAAAATTAAAAGTAGCATACTTTAGTGATTAAATTTATACTGTATTTTCTACTTATTTATAGCAGCATCAGTAAGATTCCTCTATTTTTTAATAAACTAGCAGCAAAATTTTTTTAACTACACAAATTCAGTAGATGTTTCCCCCCCCTACTGTTTCACTCATACAGAATTTATCACATTAACCAAACAAAACCACTTCTAGTTCCTGAAGAAAAAGGTGGGAAAAAGTTTCACAAGTCACCAGTTATCCCTAAAAAGAAGGGAGGCGTGAGGAAGGAAGCTGAAAAAAATTTGCGTGTAATTACCAAAAAATAAATTCTCAACCACCTTGACCAATTATGAGTAAATTTTGTGGTATCTGTGTGTGTTTGTGTATGTTAGTGAATAAAAGGTATGTTAACTTTATTTTCTGATTTTATACTGCAGTTGAAAAATACGTGGAAGTTTCCAGGAGGCCTGTCAGAGCCTGGAGAAGATATTGGTGTGTATATTACGTATCTTTAATTGACTTGAAAATGTTGAGGAAATTCATGTGTTTACTGTCTTGCTGTAGAGCTGAGAATAAGATTTTAACTTTTCTAATTGGTTTAGACTAAGTCAGAAAATTTCAGTGAAGTTACTTCAGGGATGATATAAAATTAGCAGCAAAACTTCTAATATTACAACTTATTTCATTGTTATAAATAATACCATTAGGAGCATAACACCTGTTTTTCTGCTTAGGACTGCTTCTAGATTAATTTGCTTGAAAATGAGAAGCTTTGGATGCACATCAGTCAAGTTTAGCATTAAGGGTTATTTTGAATATAACTAAAATTGTTGGAATTAAACTATGATAAAACAAATTCTTGAGCATTCTATCACACAAGGATGAAGAGTAACTTTTAAATGAATTGTGAAATAATTATTTATAAAGTCAGTTATAGAACAGTGGTGACATAATTCTTGTTTATGAAAATTTTATCTACTGTTTATTTTGGATAGTCAGAAAGCCAAAACATAGTAAAATGTCTCATGAGAAAGTCTGAAATGAGAGAGAACTTCCTAAAACAATTTACTGAGCTCATTATGTCAGGATTTTACAGGAAGGAAAGAATAGAAACTGAGTTTTCCTACCTATTCCTTAAACCATTGGGTCAAGTGCCATCCCTATCATAATAAATCAACTCATTTCATATCAGTATTATTTGTCTATGACTTTTTCCTCAATATGTATGTCCCCTAGTCTCTTTAGCCATCATTATATGAAGGCAATGTCCTAAACTATTTTTAAGTATTTTAAATATATATATATATACTTGAAACGATTTATTTTAATGTTCCACAAATTAAAAATGCCCTATACATAGTATAGAGTCAACTCCTAATATCCTATAAGTAAATTCACTACATTCAGATATATCCATAGCAAATTTTGTTTTTTAGGTACTTACCTTTTGCTTAGAGTTTGCTAGGACTTCTGTTGAAATAAAAAGGATTTTGTAGTGGTGCAACTGTTGAAAGAGAAGGGCATTTATTCTAGAACTCCCGATTATCTCACTCTCCTTATGTGATATGACATCATGTGAACTAGTTAAGTTTATGTTTTACATCCTTATCCAGTTGATACTGGGCAAACAGCAGTCTACAGGAGAAGGTTTGTGTAGCTTCCTCTTCTGAGTCTTGCCTTCTCAAATGAATTGACTTTTCTCATTTGAGTTTTTATGGATAGTCTGAGTTTCAGATATATTTAAATGGAGAAACACATTTTCAAGCCAAATGTGTATAATTGTAGGTTTGAGTGTACTCCAGAACACTTCAAGTCCATATTATTAGGAATTCACTACTTTTTTTGTGTTTGTGGTTGTCACAACCACCCACCTATTCAGAGATCGTGTATACACCTCACCATGTGGAAGTAAGAAAAAGCAGCAATTGGCATTCACCACACTACCTAGGAGTAGTATAAATTGAAGCTTTGCCTCAGAACTGATAAAACCCTGAAAGCAGCTAGAAATGGTAACTGACAGTAGAGATCTAGAAGACTATGTACAGAGGGCATTTCTATTTTGTAACAGTACAATAATAGAGTATTCTTAATGATGAAGCCAAATCTTCCAGGAATTATTTAAATTATTTTCTTTAAGCTCTGTTTTTAGGAAAGTATGTAATATACTTCAGGTATACTGCCATCACAAATGTGCAAACATTCATATTGGCTCTTAAGCAGTAAACAGTAGTTAACTGAGAAGCACATTTGTTTGGAGTCATTCATTCTTTGATACTACTAGGTAAATGAAGCACTATTGTCCGTAGTGCTTAAAAAAAAGGCAGAACATTAAGGGGGTGTATACAAAATAGAATGCAGTCCTTAGGTTTTCATATAATATAATACCCTAAGAGTACAATACATGTACAAGGTTAAAAATGGAGAAGCTGCCTTCCTGAAAAACAATCTCATTACCACTGACAGGAAGAGCATCCCTGCATAGCTAAAGGTCTTTAAAGCAGGGGGGGTCTGATCAGAGTTCATTAGTGTACCAGAGTCAGAGGGAAACACCAGAAAAACCCATATTCTGCACAGTTTTTCCTTTTATTTTATTTCAATCTAATCCTATTAAATATTAGAAAATAGAAATAACAAATATAAATTCCATTTCATTATTGTCCTTTAACTAAACAAAACACTATGACGTTTTTAAACATATCTTTCAACGAGCAAAAATAAAAACAAAACCCTCTTGGTTTTTCCTATGTTCTTCAAACCTATAAAAGTTATTTCAATTTAGCTTATAGTACATTAAAATAATAAAGGTACACGAGAATAAAGCACTTTATCTAGATAGAAAAATCTTTAAATTCATGGTAAAATCTTTGGAGAAGAGATTTCAATCTTAAGATGGAAGGGGTTCTTCTAGATACAAAAGCACTTATTAGTCTAGTCAATATCATGGATTCAAATTAAACGGATCAAACTACCCAGGCAGCACCAATTTTGAATCAACTGCTGTGGTGACTGCTGAGCAGGGCAGATTTCGCTCACCAGCCCCGTCCTGTGCTTCCATAACACACCAACAGGCCAGACTCAGAAACTAAATGCCAAACTCTTGATTAGTGTTGCTAAAAGCTGTTTTAAACAAGACCCCCATGGTCATTTTTCAAAGTGTTTAAAGAATAAAAATAAACATTTAAACAATTTTTAAGTCAGATCAGCAAATGACATGTAAAACTTAAGACTACTGCCACAATCTTTAACAAATTTAATAACAAACGTATACTACTAAAAATTATCTTTCTTATTAAGGCAAGTTTTCCTTAACATATAAATTCTTCTTTTATATTTTCAGTTTAAAAATATAATTTCTAACCATGTTTGACCTAAGGCAAATCTCAATTATAAGGGAAGTCCACATATAATTCAAGTATGGCAGACAAACGTCTTATATATTAAACACTTTTCCTGTGCATATTTCCAGAGCTGTTTATCAGAAAAAACATTGAGACATTGTTTTTTCTTTCAACGACTTGCTCTTCCTTGCCTATTCCTCACTAGTAGGACTATTAAGAAGACAAATATAATTGACAATTTGACAAACAAGAAAATGGAGGCATTAAAGGGTAGTTGAACAAAAATTTGTACCTGTGGCAATTGTGAAGCTTCCCAGCAAATAGGCAAGGAAGGCAGCTTTTTTAGGGGCTTCTCATAAAACACTTTGGGAGACAATGACAGAGCATCATAAAATTAGAGAAATCCCATGTAGGAGGTTCATCTGGATATTTAGAAAAAGCAGCCACAAAAATAAGTTAATGGCAATAAAAATCCTGTCCCAGAAATTTGCATATTATTGAAAAATCAACCTTATAAAATGTGAAAACCCTAGTTGTATTATAAAATTCTGTAAATTGCAAGTTTTTTGAAAACTTCTGATGAAATGACTACAGCATTTTGCTGTTGGAGGAATGAGTCCAAGTTCTTTGAAATTGCAGGAAACAAAGAAAATGCCAAAAATTAACGACGGTGGGATTCCACTCACAGCTGTATGACTTCAAAGGCTTGACAGTCCCAGGAGAGACCAGGGGAGAGTTGAATCATTTCATAGTTCAGTACATTCTGTAGCTCTCCAGACTTTTATAAAGAAGAGTGGATCACTTTTTCTCAATTCTGATGTTTATAAATTTGGGTAATCAGGAACAGGATAATAATGAAAAAATACGTAGGAATATTAACTGCAGCCTTGCAACCTATGTTTTCACCTCTGGGGAAATAAAGCAGGAAGAATTTTTTTAAATGTGACTCCCAAAATATATATATAAGTGGGTAAGCCTGCAAGTAGCAGCCAAAGAAATATTCAGTATTTCAAAAGTTTCTTAGATATACATACATTGGTAAGAAAATACTTCGGTACTTCAGGATGTCCAGTAAGACAAAGAGTTTACATTGAAAACTTTATTTTCCTAGGGTAAAGTTGTGCTTTTTGAGCATTTAGAAAATGCTTCTTGAAAATCTTTGAAGATTAAATTCCTAAAAATGTGATCCTTATTGATTTGTACATTTTCTTCTATGTAGGAGATACAGCAGTTCGAGAAGTTTTTGAAGAGACTGGTATAAAGTCAGAATTCAGGTCCCTCCTGAGTATTCGGCAACAGCACACCCATCCTGGAGCTTTTGGAAAGTCAGATATGTATATTATCTGCCGCCTAAAGCCATATTCATTCACCATAAATTTTTGCCAGCGTGAATGCTTAAGGTGTGAGTGGATGGATCTCAGTGACCTAGTCAAGACTGAAAATACAACTCCGATCACCAGCAGAGTTGCTAGGCTGCTGCTGTATGGATACAGAGAAGGGTTTGACCAGATTGATCTGACCATGGAAGAACTTCCAGCAGTTTACACAGGCTTGTTCTATAAAATCTATCACAAGGAACTGCCAGACAGTTATAAAACTATGACAGGCATGGATTAAATTTATATTTACATGGTTTTAAAATGTTTAAGTAAATTGTACCTGTAGATTAATGTGTGCCATGTTATAAGAAGTAGTGGGCATTTGGGTTAACTAAATATCTGACTTAAATGTCTATGATTTCCATGAAGAAAACTTGTTTGTACGTATGCGCATTTTAAAAGCCTCTTTTCAAATGAAGCAAATGTATGAAAAAGATTGTAGCTATAAGTAAGCTTCACTGGATAAAGGCAAATTCTATATAAAAAGTGGAAGTCTATGCATATTCCAGGAATTTTTGTTGTTGTTTTACTAAGGCAATGGTTAAATATTTTACTGTTAGATACAAGGTTATCTGACCAGTTACGTAAACTGAGCAGATAGCTGTATACATTTTTCTTTTCCTTTCATCAACAAATTTCTAAAATATACCTCTTCTTTCATGAGGTATATGAAATGAGATCAGATGCTGCCATTAAGATCAGCTCTTAGCAGACATTGGAAGAAAAAGTATAGCTTTCTGCCCAGGTCCTGTTTTGGGTCCAAGTTTATACTGCCCAGTTCGCTTCAGTGCCACATACCAACTGGAGTATTTCCTTGACCGGTAAGTATTGTAGTTATTAGATTCCAATCGTTCAAAAAAGAAACACTCGTCTGTAACACATTTCTGAAAAACAAAGGAAAAATTAGTAGTTGTTGTCATACTTTTCATGTTAAATATTTAATGACAGTACACAGTGCTTTGGGTTCAGCAGGACAATCAAACTAGTGAGACTCAACAGGCCAAAATCTGACACAATCTGAGTCTGCAGAAAGACAAAGGACAGGAACACAGCGTATCAGTAGGACAGTTTCAAGCACATTTCTTCAGAGGAGCAGTCCAAGGACCATTCTCCAGCCCCACGATGGACAGGTCAGGTGCTAGGCAGCAGGAGCACACAGGTGGTGTAGGAACCACACTGGCTCAGACTTGAAACATCCCATGAACATAGATTTCAGTGGTCTCCAAAAGAGACATATATCCAGTAACAAGAAAGATCTAAAAGTGATTAATAGCTCCTATAGTCGGCTTCTAGAGATAAGAATTTTACTGGATATTTACTTGGCTTTAATGTTTTGACTACTGTTAACTGAACTTTTAAAAACTGAAATGCAAACTTATCTAGTTTGCTCATTTTCTTTTGTAACTTACTAAGAAAGTAACTTAAGTGCAAATAAATCACAGGTGGCCTTACAAAGAAGCATACACTGCACAAGGACCCAACTATACGATACCCAGGACTGTCTCATGATTTTCAAAGAGATTCAAATGTAATAACAATGGCACGGATACTCTGTAGCCAATACTTGCTACCTTTGGTGAAATTATTGTGCTTCCTTTGTTAACGGAAGTTAACCTGTTTTACTTTATCTTGTCATTTTTTAGTGCCACCAATAAAAATCTTCCTCTTTCTCTATGCCAGGTTTAAGGTCAGGAGTCGAAAAGTAAAGAGTGAAAGGAAAAGTCATGTAATCATAAAGATAACGTGAAAGGTCAGCATTGAGCTTCATGGGCTAATTTCCCAGAAATAGACCTAAACCACATCAGTCAGTTATCCTCAGGACGTTGATATGCTCATTTTTTGGTGTTCAGTCAGCCTACAGGGTGCCCCACCTTGCTAGTTAGCACTCCCTATAATGCTTGGCCAACTGGGATACATACCATGCCAGTAATATTTGCCTTCTCAGCCAGTTGCTAGTATTTTAGAGAAAAGAAATAGTACCAGGGATTAAGTGGATAATATTGATACATATGGAAACCACAAGTTTTTGTTTTCTAAACAGAGGTTACTTGTACCTTTTTACAGAGGGGAGAGAAGGAAATTGTGCATCTGTGCTGAACATTCAGACCTGTAAGTTTACTGAACAGCTGATGTGCACTTGAAAACAAACTGCATTTTTTTAATGGGTAGTAGAGCCAAAATTCAGTCTCAATAAAAGCATGCATCTAACATCCCATTTTAAGCAATTTTCAGTTCTCTCCATCCTAAGTTTACAAATCATCTTCATTGGTTGTGATGTCAATAATCCTGTTAAAAACTGATGCAGTGTAATTTTTTTAACCTTTATAAACATATTCACAGAGCTTTTTTCCTATACTCAATGTTTAACTGCTCACCATTTCAAACTTAAGAGAAAAGGAGATCTTCAGAGGACATCACAGAGGACGTGGGTAAGTAGCTTCTAAAGGCTTATAACAAATTGTACCTTGCCTTCAAGCCTTATTTTATATAGGCCCAGGAGCTGGGAAATCCCTTAATTCATGGTTATTGACTGCTCTCATGCATATCATTGTATTTAAATACCACAACAATCCTCTGACATAATGTATCATATATACTCATTAACAAATGAGGAATCTAAAACTCAAGGCTCATAGATCAGGAGACTAGGATTGACATATATACACTACTGTGTATAAAACAGATAACTAATGAGAAGCGACTGTATAGCACAGGGAACTCTACTCAGTGCTCTGTGGTGACCTAAATGGGAAGGAAATCCAGAAAAGAGGGGATATATGTATACGTGTAGCTGATTCACTTTGCTGCACAGCAAAAACTAACAACATTTTAAAGCAACTATACTCCAAAAAAAAATAATAAATAGGGAGAATAAATAAATAAAACTCAAGGCTCTTAGTAACTTATTTCAGATTGTGGATACCCTTTGCCCATGTATCCATCTGACACCTTTTCATCAAATTATATTTTCCTTTATTTTTTTAAATTTAAGAATAATTTTGGGATACAGGAAGCACACAGCTCAAATAATGCATTTATTCATTTAACGTAATTTTTTTCTTCTAGGCACTGGGATACATCAGTGAACAAAACTGAACAAAGATCCTTGCCTTTGTGCTGGTCAGATTCACACTGGGGGAGACACAAAATAAGCAGTAAGCATAATTGAATAAATTGTATGCTAAAATACGATAAATCCTATGGGAAAAAGTAAAACTGAGAGGATAAGAGGGATGGGGGATGGTGTGGGTACAGATTAGGCTGCAGTAGTAAATAGCATGGCCACAGTAGGCTCCACTGAGAAACTGATATTTGAGCAAAAACCTGAAGGAGCTGGAGTTAAGCCTCCAGATACCAGAGAACAGCATCCCAAGCAGACAGAGGGAAAAGCCAGTGTAAAATCCCTACAACAGGATCATGCCAAGGGCAGCAAGGCCAGTGTAAATGAAGCAGAGGGTCTGAAGGGGAAAGGAAATGAAGTCAGAGAGGTAATGAGATAGGAGATTTATAGTCTATTGTAAGTATTTTGGCTTCTATCCTGAGAAATTGAAAAGCCATTGTAGACTTTTGAGCATGATCTGACATTTTTCCAGGATTACTCTGGCTGTCAAGATTACTCTGGGCCAAAGGCAGATGCAGATACAGATATACCCATTAGAGGCTTGCTCAGTAACCTAGACAGAGAGGGAGACTCAGACCACGGTGGTAGCAGCAGAGATGGTAAGAAGCTGTCTGCTTCTGGATGTATTCTGAAAGTAGAGTCAACACAGTTTCCTGACAGATCAGATGTGCAGTGTAAGATATAGAGGAATCAAGGGTGGCACTGAAGTTTATGTTCTAGATGATGGACTTGCTGAGATGGGGAAAGCTATAAGGGGGAACAGGTTTTATAGAGAAAGATTAGGAATTCAGTTTTGGACATGTTGAGTTTGAGGTAAATATTAGATGTCCTAAAGGAGATAAAGAGTGTTTACTGAGCACATACTCTGCAAGAGACAAATCACTTAACCTTCTTTCCCTCTTACGGAACTTGAAAAGTACTAATTTATTTGGAATGCTGAGAAGTGTTTTAAGTTACAATAATTCCAATAAGCCATATTCTCAATCCTAAAAGGTGTGGAATCTAAAAAAGAATGTAGATGTACATGTATGAGAGTAATATAAATCTGTCATGCATCAGTGGTAGGCCATACCTAAAGACTTGCCTGAACATTATCCACATGAACTAGCTTAGCTTATGGTCCTATATAAGGGGCACAATAACCATTTGTTGATACTGATAACAGTGATGCTAATGATTTTAAAGATGGTGCTGGAAATTTGACCCGTTGTAGGAGGATCTGAATAGGAAAGAATCAAATAGAGTTTGAAAAAGCATAATCAACATTTTAAATAGTTTGATTTGTATTCTGTCTATATATTTAATTTACTTTGAAATTTCAAAAAGAAAGAAAGTAAACTGATGTGATATATTTATACATAATGACCCTAGGAAATGGTAGGAACCAGGTTTCTCACTATTGGAGTGGGTAGTTACAGACAAGCCAGCAGGGAAGGCTAAAATAGTTCATGTGATACTGTTGGATTAGGGTTGGATAACATCAGCTACAGATGGTTAAATATAGAAATATTTATAGTTGTGTGTGTGTGTGTGTGTGTGTCTACACACACACACACACACACACACACACACACCCACACACACACACACACACACACACACACACACACACACACACACACCCAGGTTGGTATATGCCTATATTCCTTGCTTGGTCAGATAAGAAGGCCTGGAAGCAGACACACCTCGGTAGCAACAAGCACGCCCAGATCTTGGTTTCTGATACCATTTTCCAGTAGAAGGAACCAAGCCTCCTTAGAGAAATGGCTCATTCTGGGCTGGAGTAGGGAATATACAAGATGAGCACTCTTAGAGGACATGAAATAAGGAAGTGCTCAAAAAACCCCACATTGACTGGGGTATGTCAAAGAATACAGGAGCCAAATGAAAAAGCTCCCAAGAGCCAAAGCTGAAACAATTTGAACAACAAAATAATACAGTTTGGGATTATAACCCAAAGTACAAAATAAATATCCATGCATATATACTGATATACATGATTAACTAAATAAAAGAAGTTGTTTCTCATACAGAAGAATTCCAAATAATTTATGCAGATACTTCCTCCTCAACGAGACGGAGCATAAACCTCCCCCGCCCCACTCCCATCTCTTAAACGTAGACTGTGTATAGTGACTTTCTTCCAAATACAGTATGGAAAGGGGAAAACAGCAGTAACTTTACAGTGGAGACAAACACTGCCTCAGCCAGCTGACCAGGGTTAGTATTATTAGTGATAAGCATGTTCCCTGAAACGATACAATGAAAATAGTACTTTACCTCTGTGATCTACCTCCCAAACACTCATAACCCACGTCTAATCATGAGGAAAACATCAGGCAAACTGAAAGACCTTCTAACAAATACTTGACCAGTAGTCCTCAAACTGTCAAAGTAATCAAAAAAAGGAAAGTCTAAGGAAATGTCATGACCTAAGGGAGACTATAAAAACATGATGACTAAATGTGGTATCCTGGAACAGAAAAAGGACATGAGGTAAAAATTAAGGAAATATGAATAAAGTGTGAACTTCAGCTAATAATGATGTATCAATAGTCGTGACAGGTGTACCATACTAATGTAACATGTTAATAGGAGAAGCTGGGTGTGGAGTATACAGAAACTCTCTGTACTGCATCTTCACAACTTTTCTGTAAACCTATTCTAAAATCAAAATTTATTTTTAAAAAAACCCTGACCTTAGGGCTACAAGTATGACCACAAAAAAAGAATCTCAAGTAACTGAATTTAGTAACTCTAGTT